AGTAAAAATCAGGTATAGCATTTGATTTGATACTAAAACACCCAACTTTGAAATGTTATTTATTATAGTGCAAGTTAATATGATCATGATATGAAAATTTCAGTATTACTGTACACTCAATACCGAAACCATGATGATAATGAACATTCTTTCTTTAGACAATAGAATGTGATTTGTACATTAAATAACAGTACTTTCTTTCATATTACCATGCGGCCTTAAATATGTGTAATGTAGGTTCCAGGGATGTATACTAGTCTATGTGGTCGTATTTGTCATACTCACTCAAGATCATCTAAAGGTATTCAGAAAAGGTTTGATTTTGTGAATGTAAATGTGACTTTTGTAACATCAATTGGGATCAGATTTTCATGACTTTTGCCAACCAAGTCCAGTTGCCAAGCCATTCTTATCTCCACAGCTCCACATGATCATACACTTTACCTTCTGTCCTCCCACCCGCTGCTCCTGTCTACTCCAACAGTCCTGAATATACATTAAACAGACATTCTCACGGCTGACCAACTCTGCTCTATTTTTTTCTCTCTTTGGCTCCAACTTCAGAGCGCAGTGTCAGATTTACTTGTTAACCACAGGAGTTAAGACATTTGCTTTCGCCGCGGGTCATCTGGCGCTCGGCAGAAACCGCAAATCGACGTCGAGGAGTTGAAGATGTTGAAGACGGTGAAAATTAGGCTTGCCAAGGCTGTAAAAAGTCAAACAAATAAGGTGCTTGCTTACATTTGAGATGGAGTAAACATAGACCGCAGTGGGCGCTATGGTGTGGGGGGCATGCCTGGAATGACAGTGGAATCCGAACACGTCAGAGAGGCTTCTAAATATGAGGTGTTACATCCTGTATGCGTCCAAAATAAGAATGAAAATAATTGCCCTAGAAACTAATGTTCCAAGTTGCAATTAAGCAGAGCGTTAAATAGTTTCCACATGTGTTTAGATTTGTACAACAATCAACTTATTGTTTAGAATCACTAGGTACTTTTGCATGGCCTATAAAAACCTAGAGTAATCAGACTACCCAATAAAAAGATCTGATTTTGATTTAATCTAATATCTATGTCTATATCTATCATTTTTAATTCTGATCAGAGTTTTTTATTAAAAGTCTTACATTATATATAAGTTATAATGCTGTTACCTCCTCAAAAACATGAGTTGTGTTTTGTCTCATTCACACATGTTTAGGCAATCCAGGTTTATTAGTGTGTCTGCATGTCCAAAGCTAAAAACGCTCTGTTCCACCATGTGATGTCATGCAGTAGTAGTTTTGAAGTTAACAGCTACCTTTTACCTTTAGATCAGTAGAATGACTATTCCAATGCTGAAATGACCCAAATGATCCTATTGAAGGTGCATGGAGTTTAAAAACACAGTAAAGCATGTCTTGTATTACCATGTGACATCACAAGGTGGAACAGAGTGTTTTCTTTTTGAGAGAAGAACTCAGCCTACAGTAAATATGCAGGGTATGCATGTTAAACATGTGTTAATGAAACAAAACACAACTCCAGGTATGTTTGTGATGAGGAAACAACATTATCACATAGATCAGAAAAAAGCGGGCCCTTTAAATGTGATTTTTAATTGGCTCTGGTTTTGAGTTTGTATTTACATGCACAACATGAATCTGATCACTGAAAACACATGGTGACATGGGATAGTTACTCGATGGATTTTTAGACTAACCGTCAGAGATAGGTAGTACTCAGTTATATTTTCTTGAGTAACTTTTTGATGAAAAGTAACTTTTCAAAGTACTTTTCTAGCAGCATACTTTTACTCCTACTTGAGTAATATGTTTATTGAAGCAAGAGAAAGTTTTGGTTACTCTTCCCACTGTGAGTAAGATAGTTTATTTTCTTTGGTCATTTTGCACAACCATTAATCACGTTACAATGATTCATGAATAACACAAAATGATTAATAATTTTGCAAAATGTCCGAAGAAATAAACAAACTAACAAGTGATAATGTTTTATGTTGACAATATGAAATTAATTGAACATTTGTATTTCTTGCACCACTTCAGATATGATTTAATTTTTCTTATTTTTGTGTCTATCCTTTGAAAATACCAGATTTTGTGCTTTTTTTTTTTGTCCTTCAGATGAAATTAACTTGAAATTATAAATCAGATGTTCCCTTTTTTTGTAAAATTTTCTTTGTTAAATCCTGCATGTGTGAACAGTCAAAAAGAAGTCATATTACTCACATCAGATCTGATAACTCCAGAAATCCAATAATGATGCCATGTAAATATGGCAGTGTTTACAATTACGTACAATGTGAAATTTGGATGTTCTTGCCTTATCAGTTTCCTCTTACATCTAGCTGCTCCTGACTAAGATCTTGTCTTGAGATCTGAAGATGGGTCTCTGACTACACTGCAGCGTTGAAGACTACCTTGTCTATGCCATGTGACATGTCACCCTGGTAGTAATGAAGGGTGGTGGGGGTCCAAAGCAGAGGACACAGGGTCATATTGTATTAAGGCTTTTATTGAAAACAAACAAAATGGTGCATGAACAGTGCATCAGGTCAGATTGTGCCACTTTGTTTTTTCTCTGTATATTTGTAATGCTTTTGTTTTGTTTATTTCAAAACTAATTTGCTATGAAACCATGGACAGCCAGGCTAATATCTCTCTGCTAGAGATAAAACCATAATCAACGACAATTTAAACTTTCTGACATATCGGCTACTGGCCTTGAATCTCTAACATAGTCCCATATGTTGTTTTCACTGACTACCTGACTGAAGGGAGGAGTTTTATTTGAACATTTGGGTGCAAAGAGGGCACTGCTCTAAATGAGACTACACAGCTCTCTTATAAGAATCAGAATAAGTTTACCATTGTCAGTGAACAAAATTCACAAACTAGGAACTAGGAAAAAGTAATAATAAAAACTATGATAAAATAAGAGATAATAATATAGAGTTTGGGCATGACAACAGTGCAAACATGCAATGCAAGTAAGTTTATTAGGGTGGTACACAAGATTAACTGTGCATGATAGGTTGATTGCAACTCACTTTTGGTAGTTATTCTCAACAAATGAACATTTCCTGTTTTACTTTTGAAAAAAATATTGTAATAGACAGGCCTAGAAGTGGAATACCCTCTTGTAATATCATATTTAAATACTTCCTGAAGCATAAAAAATAAAACTCCCTACACAGTAATATAAATAGGTTAATCTAGAACATTTGAGATCTACACAATCTAGACTGATGGCTGTATTCCCACTTCCATTCGGTTACATGATGCAGTAATCTTATTGAACAAACATTGACACATAATAAGAACTGTGTATTTTCCCCCATAGACCACAGCATAATATGAACCCTCTCAAAAATGCTGACAGTGCACTCACAACTGACTCCCCAATGGTTGGCTATTGTGTCATTTTCCACAAACATGAAGCTTCTGTCTCTCCAAAAACTCTTGTATGCGCCGGCGAGCAATTTTCCATACAAACTCAGCTACAGCCTTCTCCCAGGCCTCAGAGCTTGGATATATAAAGGCTTGGGCGCATTAAGAGTACTGGGTGGCCACTTAGTGCAATAAAAGGAATCCCCTGCAGCTTGAAAACCATGTCCATAATAAAAAACAACTGTCAAACTGCAGGAGTGGCTCAGAGGAGCCAGAGAATATGCCTGTCTTAATAGTTGGCTTGTTTGGAGTTGGGAGAGGATCTTGGATTTCAGGTCAGAGCTAACAATACATCTGGAGCATGCATTCCTCCTGTATCATATTCCAAGAAAAATAGGTTATTTTTTACTTGTCAGTGCAGTGTTGGGTCGAGTAGTCAAAATTTGTACTCAAGTAAGAGCAATGTTGCTTTAAGTAGTGATGCATATAATGAGAAAATAACTACGAATGTGTTCAAATTATTTATTATTATCAACATAAAGGTTGTGTCAAGTCATAATAAAAGTATGTTTTGATAAAACAGCTCTTAACTTAATCAGAAAATTACTCAATTAGATGTAGATGTAAGTGTGTGTGACGAATTCTGATTAATAGATTCTGCAGGGATCTGTTATGTTTAACACAGCAGTGTAAACATGTAACACAATCCTCTTCAATGAAGGTACAAAAGATTACTTGTTCAGCTGAATAGTTCTCTGCTCTAGAGGATTTCTGTCTTGGACCCTCAGCTATCAACTGTATTCAGTATTTAGCTCTCCGCAGATCTAATCTGTGACTTGGCCTGGTGCTGTCACCTGCTTGTCTCCACTGGGGTGAATACATTTACTGCCATACTGTGGAACATTCCAGGCAAAGCCTCAATCAGTACTTTTAATAATTACTGCCAGTATTTGATGAATAACATTAAACCAATATTAAGTGTACTAATACTTTTTTTCAGACTGATTTATGGTATTTTCTTCCTCATTAGCCTGAAGTGGCCATCTTGGATTTCCACTGAGTTCTAACAAAACATCCACAGGGAACTGATACATCCCTTAGGGCCATGTTATTACAAGAAAACAAAAGTGTTGTTTTCCAGTGTTGTTTATACCACCAGTTTACTAAAATGTAATGCATGTAAAATAAAATACTGTATGAAGTACTCTTTATTACTCTTTTGTAGACACGCAGTAGCATTATTATTGCACTGAAGCTAATAATGGAAGACAGCAGAGTGTTTGAGTTGTTGCTGTGACTTCCTTTCACTCCGCCCCCTCAACACATTGCTACTTTCCACAAACGGGAGCACAGAGACAGCAACATCCCAACTTTGCCTTCTCTCGTAGCTTGGAGTTTTTTGTTCCTGTACCTTAACCTGGGAAAACGAGTCATTCGGAACTACCGGGACAGTGTGGTGCTTTTCGGGCAGGTACAGGGGATTTCAGTAGCCTCCAGCAGCGCGTAGAACCAGCATGTGCCCGGTGCGCGGAGAGGAGCGCTGAGAGAGGAGAGGACATGCTCGCCAAACCCAAACGAGTGGATTTATGAGTGAACATGTTCCGATGAGAGAAGCCGGTGGATACCCCGCTGGTCTGGTAAGTCTTTTCAAGTAAACAGTATAGATAAATATACAAACTGAAAAGTCCAAAGTTTATTTTTTGAACTCACATATGTACACGAAGAAAGACATTGTTTGCATAATCAAACCAAATGCGCAATTACGCACCAGAACAAGCGCATTTTATTAGGTTATAGCACCGGGTTGATAGGATGATTGGCCCCGTGCAGACGCTCCACTTGGATCGCTGCTGGAGCTCTACTGCAGTCCGTGGGAACTTGGAAAAGCTAGGGAAAGGGAGACAGCGCCATCACTCGCACAGCAACCACACTCCTGCATCGAGAAAAAAGGAGAGACGAGTTGGGGAACGCTTGGCTGTGTGAGGGCATGAGAAATTGAATCCAATGAATGAATGTCCTCTATCCGTCGTGCAAGGAATAAGAAAAACTACAACTCTTTTGCAATTTTATTCCTTTTTATTTCTCACATATAGATGCATACCGTGAAAGTAATAATAGTAGTAACACATCTACTCTTTAGTCAGTAGGCAAATTTAAATATTAAAAAGTTAATAAAATAACTTAAATGTGTATTGTGAAGTGGAAATTGCACGTATCAACATTTTTGGTTACGTTTTATGTCGTGAATAATGTTGTCCAATAGGCTTCTACATTTATTTTATTTTATTTTTTACTTTTGAAATTATGGAAGGAAATAACAATATAAAGGCAATATAATGTTGTACACATGTAAGCTACAGGTTACTTCTAAATATACTACTTGACAAATATAACCCAATGGCATCTATTTTTCCCACGGGTCAACAAAGTATCAAAGAGCCTAAAATAGCACCTATTAAAAAGCGAGATTCTAAAGAAAAGCATTGACGCTTGGCATGTTTTCAAGTAATTCATGTTTGCATTATGTAGCCAAAACAGTTGCCAAAAATCAAAGCAACCTGCCCGTGTGTGAGAACTAGATCCAGCAGCGCGGAGGGATACCGGACTCCTGCGCCTGCTCCAGTGAGCGAGCGAGTGCGAGCGAGCGACTGTGCGCCGCGCCGGGGAGAGAAAGGGAAAGAAACGGTAGAGGGAGAGTAGATGGAGTAGCGGAGAGGACACGACCACGTCCACGTAACTACCATGCCGAGATTTGGACTACTTCAACTCCATGCCAAACCTCCAAACTTATGAAATTCCAGACAGGAGAGGTACGTGGAGCATTTTGGTTTAATGACGCGCGTTTTGGCTGCTTTAATGGATACGCACGGACATCTGGGAAAAGTTGAGATAGGTCTCCCATTGTAAACTGCTTGGGAAGACACCAGTCGTTAGTTCTGGTTGGCTTCTGACACATTTTCAGAGTTGTAAAGCGGCAAGAAAAGTTAACCATGTTCTAAATAGAAGCGAAATACGGTGCGTAACGGTGAATTTATTTGCAGTGCCGTAATATGTGCCTTTGAACAAATCTGTGCAGTAGCCTTCGCTTCGTGGAGTGAATGGCTTCAGTTGGGGGATGGGGTTTGCCAAGAAAATGCGCTTTAAAAGTTTATTTCTTTAGACATTAAACGACTTAACCTTCAAAAAAAAAAGTTCTCTGTGTCGTATTAGCGCTTATATTCACCAGGCTGCTTATTGAAGCCTTTTGAACGCTAAGAAGTAACTATTAGTTTGTTTCGGAATTACATACAATGGTGGCTCCCATGCAAGCAGATGGCTCTTTTGTACCTGCAGGCGATACTTTCCGACTCAAGGTGATCCGCGCAGACTAAAGTCATTTATTAACCGTGCACAAAGCGTAGAATAACTAAACCTGTACACCAGCGGGCTCATTTGGACACGCCAAAAGTAAATGTCGTAACGGCATAATAAAAGAGAACTTCAAGACAGATATGGCAAGGCTTGGGTTTGTTTGCCTTTGTAGGGACACCCACATGCAATAACCTAGACGTTGTAAAAGGATTGTAAACGAATGAATGTGCCATTTCAAACCGTTTCAACAGCCATTTAGTCAGAGCGTTTAGACATAGGTGAAGATTTGGCAGAGGTTTATTTTCCACTTTTTGTTGCAATTGCTGAAGGGAAAAATCATTAATCACTAGTATAATTACCTTATCATACATTAAGTAAGTATTGCTTTAACCCTGCACGTGAACCTTGCAGGCTAATTCAATTTAATTAATAGAAATACAGATATCTACACAATTCTCATCCATCATTGTAATGTTGAAATTGGTTTCCTGTAACAAAAAGCAGACATACTAATGCAGCTGCTGTATGGTCACCTGACTTGTCACTGTGCTTCATCCTATATCCACACGGAGCCCATTTAGCCATTTATCAGCCTGCGCATCCTGACACGACATTTAAAGGGGACTGGAAAAGCGCACAATGAGAGAGAAATTGAGGCTTGCATCCTACCCCCATTGTCATTTATAGTCTGGTGGATTTGCACGTTGCCATAAATTAAATTAGGGTTATGTTATCCGGCTGGGTAATGTCACTGCCTGGCTTTTATGTGGCTGTTACAAACCAAGGCAGTAGGAGTAATCATATATGCACCTGGATCAATTTGGTTTACTATTTTTGAACACATTCAAATCTGATTATATACTATATCGTGAAAGTATTGCGTTATAAAATTTGCATATACAATAACTGTACAGTCTTTTTTATGCTTCACAAATTATAAAAGTAATATAGATCGGAAATTAGATCTGTCACAGTAATGCATTTTGAAGTATGGTTTGGTGCTAAACAATAATACTGAAACAAATTTATGTCACTGATACAATTATTGTAAAGCAGGATTATCCCCCAAAATATGTTTAATGCATAATGGTGGTTAAAAACACAAACTGCAATGAATATATACATAGCAGAGTGATACACTAGCAGTTAGTCTGTATCTATAAAAAAAGTCATAGAAGTTATTTTTACCAACCCTCTACAACTCAAATCTAATGGTAGAACTGAAACGATAACAAAATACTCCCCCACTAGTACTAAGAAAAAGTACCTATGATAAATATTGACCCATAAAAATGATCATTCCATTTAAGGTTGATAAGTTGTAGTTGTAATTATTGTGACAGGTCTGCTGGAAATGTTTTGAAAATTTTCAGCGTATTAATTACTAAAGACTAACTGTCCTTTTCTTTTTTTCCAGGTGGTTGTGTGAAGACTGCGGTACGATAATGGGGAAGCACTTGGCCTGGCAGCTCGTGTTGCTCCTGCAGCTTGTCTGTGGTTGCACGGGGACCCAGCGGACGCCGAGGGCTGCCTCCATGCATTTCACCCACTCTGTTTACAATGCCACCATATATGAGAACTCTGCTGCTAAGACTTACTTGGAGAGCCACAACAAAATGGGAATCTACATCACAGACCCAATCTGGGAGATTCGGTACAAAATCATCGCTGGGGACAATGAGAACTTATTCAAAGCTGAGGACTACACATTGGGAGATTTCAGTTTTTTGCGAATAAGGACCAAAGGAGGTAGCACTGCTATTCTGAATCGGGAGGTTAAAGACCACTATATACTTACTGTGAAGGCGTCAGAGAGGAATACTAACTTAGAAAGCCGCACAAGAGTCAAGGTACAAGTTTTGGACACTAATGATTTGAGACCACTGTTCTCACCGACCTCCTATAGCATCTCTCTACCTGAAAACACAGCTATCCGCACAAGTGTGGCAAAGGTCACAGCCACAGACGCTGACATCGGTACCAACGGGGAGTACTATTACAGCTTCAGAGAGTGGACGGACATGTTTGCGGTTCACCCCACAAGCGGAGTGGTGACACTGACAGGGAAACTGGACTACTCCGAGACCAAAGTGTATGAGCTGGAGATTCTGGCAGTGGATAGAGGGATGAAATTATACGGCAGCAGTGGCTTCAGCAGCATGGCCAAACTTACTGTGAGAGTAGAACAGGCCAATGAGCACGCGCCTGTGATTACCGCGGTGACTTTGGCCCCCTCAGATGCAGACCATGACCCCACATACGCCATAGTGACAGTGGAGGATAATGACTTGGGACCAAATGGAGAGATTGCATCACTTAGCATTGTTGCTGGCGACCCCCTGCAGCAGTTCAAGGCCGTTAGAACCAGCCCTGGGAGCAAGGAGTATAAAATCAAAGCAGTCAAAGATGTAGATTGGGATAGTCAGCCGTATGGATACAACCTCACTTTACAGGCCAAGGACAAAGGAAACCCTCCACAGTTCTCCTCTGCTAAATTAGTGCATGTCACAACCGCGCAGTTTAAATTTAGCCCTCCTATTTTCGAACAGGCTATTTACAGAGTCAATTTAAGTGAATTTGCCCCCCTTCACACACCTGTCACTATGGTAACAGCTGTGCCAAAGTATCCGCATCTTAAATATGCGTTCAGACATAAATCCGACAAGGACAGATTTACCATCAACCCCGATACAGGTTTAATCAGTGTGGCAGGACCAATCAATGCCGATTCTACCCCGCAGTTTGAGCTGGACGTGGTGACCAGTGACAAAAAGGCAGCCACAAAAGTCATTGTCGACGTGATTGATGTGAATAACAATGCGCCAGAGTTTCAGCAGACGTCTTACAAGGCCAGTGTTGATGAGAACGTCGCAGCGGGGACCAGCGTGTTGTCGGTCAGAGCCACAGACCTTGACAAAGGCGAGAACGGCTATGTGACCTACAGCATCACCAATCTGACTCCCCAGCCGTTTGTCATCGACTACTTCTCAGGTGTCATCAGTACCTCTGAAGTGCTAGATTACGAGTTAATGCCCAGAATTTACCACCTGAAAGTCAGAGCGTCAGACTGGGGCTCCCCTTTCCGCAGAGAGGTGGAGGCTCCCGTCACCATCACACTTACAAACCTCAATGACAATAAGCCTTTGTTTGAAAATGTCGATTGTGAAGTTACAGTACCAAGAGATCATGGCGTGGGAGAGCAGGTTACCACAGTTTCTGCTATAGATGCTGATGAATTACAACTGGTGCGGTACTATATCAAAGCAGGAAATGACCTGGATTTATTTGAACTCAACCCAAACTCTGGGGTACTCTCTTTGAAACACCCGCTGAGCGAAGGAGAGGCAGCTAAAGTGTCCTTTCATAGTTTACAAATCATAGCTAGTGACGGAGAGCATGAGACGCAGCCAATGTACATGAATATAACTGTCATCACTGCACGAAAGCCAGTCCAGTTGAAATGTGTCGAAACTGGCGTTGCTACCATGCTGGCAGAAAAGCTCCTCCAAGGCAGCAAAGTTCACACACAGAATGAGCCAGACGATTTCGTGGACATACACTCAATCAATCGGTACACGCCACAGTTTGGAGATTCTTTTCCTAGTGCTGTTGAAATCACAGAGGACCTCCCTGTAGGTGCTCGGATTGTACATCTGAGTGCCACAGACTCTGACAGTGGTTTCAATGGGAAACTTGTGTATGTTATTTCAGGGGGAGACCCAGAAAGCAAGTTTATAGTGGAAATGGAAACCGGCTGGCTGCTGGTGTATTCCCCTCTGGACAGGGAAACCACGGACCATTATACTCTCAATATTACTGTTTACGATCTGGGAATACCACAGAAATCGTCATCTCGTCTCCTGGATGTCAAAATCCTAGACACAAATGATAATAGTCCACAGTTTCTGCAAAATTCATATTCGGTTGACATTAGCGAGAGCACACCTGTAGGTACGCAAATTATTCAGGTGGACTCTACTGACAAGGACAAGGGACCTAATGGAGCAGTGAAATATTCCATTTTGGGAGGTACGGATCATTTCGCCATTGACGAGGATACTGGTGTCGTTACGGTAACAAAACCGCTAGATCGCGAGCTGCAACCAGTTTATGTTTTAAAAATCGCAGCACGTGATCAGGCGGTGTATGAACCCCAGCTCGTCTCCACGGTGCCACTTAAGATCACGCTGGAAGACGTCAATGATAACCCTCCAAAATTTGTTCCTCCCAATTATCGCGTTAAAGTTAGGGAAGACCTTCCAATAGGTACAGTGATCATGTGGCTGGAAGCTCACGACCCCGACGTTGGTGCATCTAGCCAAATACGCTACAGCCTGATCGACAATGGAGACGGGAATTTCGAAGTTGACAAAATTAGTGGTGCGGTACGGATTGTTCAAAATCTTGATTATGAAACAAAGCAAGTGTACAACCTGACGGCGAAAGCTAAGGACAAGGGGAAGCCGATGTCCTTGTCGTCGACTTGTTTCATCGAGATTGACGTTGTGGATGTAAATGAGAACCTGTACAGACCATATTTCCGATCTTTTGTGGACAGAGGATTTATAAAAGAGGACGCAATTGTGGGTACATCCGTTATGACTGTAAAGGCTGAAGATGAGGACAGCGGAAGGGATGGGGAAATTCGATACTCCATTCGGGATGGATCAGGCTTGGGAATATTCACCATTGATGAAGAAACTGGTGAGTGTTTTTTTCCCTTTCCAATGCAGAGCTGTGTGAATATCATATGTCTTCAGCAAATTTGCATAAATGGGAGATTTGTGCAGCCAATGATTTATATTTGTCACTGTGCAAAAAACAATGAGGTAACATGATGCTCCAGGAGACGGCTAGAATGCTTGATTCCAGTCATTTTTCTTGCACAGCAGAATTGGCAGTAAGAACAGATGGAACAGCTGTCTCCTAGCTCTTTGTAGACATTCCTAAGCAGTTGCTGAGGAAATAGGACACTGACTGATTTCACCTATTCCTGCCCTGTCCCAAAGACTACATTTCTGCACTTGTACTGCACACTGATCTAAAATGTAGCAATAGTAACAGTATGTCATTTTTAACTGTTAGAAAATAATGTGCTGATGGCTTTACTTGTGGCTTGTACTTTTTATATTGCAGAAAAAAACATAATACTTTTCCAGCTGCCCTGAATGATTTTAATAGCTGACTCAAATTAACTCAACTTAACAGGCAGTCTGGAATTCCAGGAGTTCCAACCCAAACCTAGCAATCACCTGATTTGGCTGCTTCAGACCTCACTCCCTTTCCTTTTAAACTTGGTAATCACATTCCCGACCATCTTAGTGACTTTTTCCCAGTTAGGAATTAAATTCCCATGCGTTGTATGCATATTTAATGTTTAAATGAGGCACTGGAAGAATGCATAATGCAGTGATTTCTCCTGGCATATGTAACCTCAGAGCGTCAGATCTACTTATGAAAGTGAAAATTAGATTTATTTTTAGAGTACTGCTGACTTTTGCCACTTAAAAATACGTCGTGTCTTTAGATGTTTTCCTACAAATTAGGTGTTAGCAGTTCATAATAATAACTACTCAGATGTATTCAGGCAGTAACCTTGGTACCTTTTTTCTGGTGGATTTGAGAGTAACAGATTAATATATTTTTTCTGTAAAAATCTTTTATTGACAGTTCTCAGCTTATCATTTTACAATAGGTCAAGTTGAAGTTGAAGAGTTGAAGGTGCAAATGCTCTGTGAATAGGGCTGGGCGATATGGATCAAAAACTATATCTCGATATATTTTGCTATATCTCGATATATGATATATATCTCGATATATGTTCAAGAAAAAATAACCCCCTAAAACTGAAAACTGCAAAAACAAATCTGCCAAATTCCACAAGGTCCTTTTTTTTTAATTGAAGTGTAAGAGGTCGGCAGTTCATATAGGAACATTTAAGATTACACAAAACCCTAATTACATAAATAATAATTTAACTGTAAAATAAAAGAAATAATACATATTTCCTTCTTTTCATTCATAAATAAAACAACTCAACACAAGCTCATCTTTGCATTAACTCTGTTATCCAGATCATAATCATGAGCTCATTTAGCAGAGGAAGTTCAGGATGTTCCTTATTTTAATAGATCCATGTTATTATCCAGCAGTAAGGAGCTCTGAGGTTTCCCACAATCCACTGCAGATCAAACCCAACGCTTCCAAACACTATTGTACAAGTGACACTGCAGCAGATTATTTATTAAAATCTTCTGCATAAATAAACTTTATATTGCTAAACTTTACAATATACAAAGCATAACGACTCTAGAGCCACATCAGCCCGTTTGCGATAATAATGTGTTTAATGCAGTTTTGCGCACGTGTGTTTACATTTTACAGAAACGAAACTTAAGCGCATGGCTCATTTGCATAAACAGCACTTCTCCTGCAGCTCAGCTCGTTTAGCTTCTTTCGGGCTAAAGGACGTGACTCGGTGGAATATGAGGATGTGCTGCTGGTGGTTTTGTCTGTAAATGGTGGAAAAGGTTCGTGGTGCTTGAAGTTTTTCACTGGCACCAACTTTCGGTGTTCACGGTGGTAGTGACGAGTGAAGGAGACACGAGCGAACAAAATCAGTGAGGCAAGGGCGCGCGGAGGCGACGAGAGAGAAGGTAAACAAGCGAAGAGACGAAATCAAAATTGAATATAAGCATTATATCGATATATACGATATGTCAGAATTCATATCGAGTTTATTTAAAATATCGAGATATCGCCCACCCCTATCTGTGAAGCCGATATTTAAATGTTCTAAATGATCTAGTAAAAAATGATCAGTTTAGAATAATGGTGCTGATTGTATAACAAACAGAAATGCATTCTCATGTCTCCCTGACTCATTCAGTTTGATCAGACAAGAAACCTCAGCAAATAGGATGTAGGCTGTGTTCAAACAGTTCTGGTGCAGGAGAGCTCTGTGTTTGACTGCTGGGAACATGTCTGTATGCTCAGTAATCTATTGCTTAAGGCAGATTGTAAAACTTCATGACAATTTAATTCATTCACAATTTAGAGCTCTACTTTTTTGTAAGTCTATTTGTATTTCTCAAGCACCATCTCTTTAATGTTCTTTTTTAGGTCCATGAAAAAATGCAAGGATTTAATGATTTATTTAGGGCTGCAATGGTTAATAAGAAAAAAGAGTGACTAGTCCACTTTGAAAATACTAACTGCCTTTTGATAATCATTAACTGGACTATAATAAAAATAAATTTTCAGATATTCATAAATAATACACTTTATGTATGTATTGCATGTCCTCTGTCTAGCCTTCAGCCATCCTAGTTTTACCTTTATATGGGCAAAATGTAATTAATAAACCGATGTTCAATAGACTAATCAACAAATTGGAAAAAAATAATTGATGATTCATTTCAGCCCTAGTTTTAGTTCTTGAAGGGCTTTTATGGCTTTTAAAAATTCAGACTTTCGATACTAAGGAATAGACTCAATACTCAAGACCGATTCCAATACCCCAATGATAATAAAAAAACATTTTGTCTTCATTTAGATAGTAGAATGTTATTTTCAGCATTAAATCTGCTGATGTGACTTCTTTGGATACTTGTTCAAATGATCATCTAGTTTTCATACTAGTTTGAGTGAACAGTGTCTGATTTGCTTAACCCAGCTTTATCCTAACTAGACCATCAACATGAGAGGATGCTCTGTGCTCGAGCTGTCCCTAAGTAGTATGTGTCAGTGACTTGCCAACATGTCTAGCTCAAAAAGTCAGTATAGGATAGGATACAAATTCCATGAGAGCTGGTCCTAATCTTGCACTTAATCCTAGAGACCTATATTAAGAGATTATCAGGAGGTGCAATGATAGGATTGTCCCGGGCTGGGTCCTGTTATTATGGATTACATCTGAGGTCAGTAGACAACTAAATACAGCTAAGGTGGTACTGGCACTCCTAGGATTTCACTAGATGGAGGGTGCGGTTGGCCGGCACATCACCAATATGATGTTTTGGGAGGAAAATATAAGTATGGGGCCCCTTATTTTGCTATATATCTGCAGCTGCATGTTGTGAACCTCAACCAAAGAGTTTAAGAGCTTCAGAATTAGAAAACATGTTGGAAGGAGCAGGGATATTGCCAGCACAGCAGCCACACACCTTCCAACTATGGATGTAGTTGTCCAAAGTTGGAAGAGTGTTTTCCCTATTTTCTTCAACAGTTTAAGCCCCTGCTGTAGTGCTTTGTAACAGAAAAGGTAGTTCAAACTGTGCGGTTTTATTGTCTTGGATGGATTTTTTTCAGAGGGGATCTCACAAACAAAAAGATAACATTACAAGTCTGTAGGCAGTGCACTGAATAGCATTTTATTACAGGGTTGTAAATGCATGAAGTCAGTGAGTGACCTGCACAAATCAATATATATATATATATATATATATATATATATATATATATATATATATATATAGAGAGAGAGAGAGAGAGAGAGAGAGAGAGAGAGAGAGAGAGAGAGAGAGATAAATCATATATAAAATTTGGAAGTCAAACTGTGACTTGCTTTAAAGAGCCTGTACCCAATTTATTTCGATGTATTTGTGCAAAATCTATCTTCTCAAAATACAGATATATTATAAAAATAGCTCTTGAGGTCAACATAAGTCCACTGTGTATGTAATCATCAAATCAAGTATTTCACTGTCTGAGAATAAGGAAGTACACAGTTAGTGTTCTAATTGTTAGCATTACCATGAGAGCAACACATCAATCTGGTGTCTGAAGTGTGGTTGAGAAAAAAATCCAATTGGAAAAATATTTCTTTGTAGATATGTGATGAAATTGGACAGCTGGCCTGGTATTTTTTGCAAAAATGATTTTGCTTTGAGATACAGTTCAGTTTCATAGCCGTATTCTCTACTGCTGCTTATTAAACACCTCATTGATGTCACTTCCAGGGTCCAGAAATGCAGGCCGAGTCTTGTTGTTCTGACATGGTTCATTTTCACCAGGTTTGCTGTGGGAGTCCATAGCAACTGTTTGCCCAGACATTCTCCTTGTTATTAAAAGCTCAGTGGTCTTTGGCTCTGTGCCATCGTAATTTAAACATTCTCTTATCTGGACTCTTTCCAAGGACAGTGCAGACTTGGACCTCTTCTCTAGTTTGATTGGCAAGACACCTAAAGGAGATATAAATCATATATGTTTTGGATAAATCTGAATTTAGTTTGTGTAAAGTTGGGGGGACAGATTTCTACAATCATCCAAATTTACTATTACAATGGAACTGGACAAATGGAGGATAACATTTGTCTGGATTTTCAGTTGTCATTGATAGGTAACTAATATGTTGTTTCCTTTTTCACAATAGTTCTCCAGACATATAATAAATACAGCTACTTTCCAATTATCATATTATATTATAGTGCTGTACTTGGTCATATAGAAAAAAGAAAGGAAGGAATCTAACCCAGATTCTTCTTGTCCTTGGCACACCTTAAGTCTGATCAAGTTGATAAAACAATGTCAGGCATTGGCGTGCCTTTAATTGCCTGTGAGTAAGCGTCTTCCTCACTTCCTTTGTCTGGAATGACTCAGGGATAATACTGGATTGGAACTTTGCATCTCTGTATTAATTGGACCCTATCCACTCACGTGGCACACTCCACTCAGCACCCGGAAGATAATGTGCCAGCGTCAAA